AAAGCGTCCTATTTCCTTACTTCAAGGAGATGAACTTGAGCATCACAAGGGAACGGAGAAGTTCCAAGGACAACCCAGAGACTCATAAAAAGCCAGTGCATGAAAATGGGACACAAGAGGAGGAGACTCTTAAAATAATAGATAATAAGATGAAGCAAGTTTTAATTGCTTCTGTTCTGTGCTTGCATCTGTTAAATACTGAAACACCAAAAGGGTTGTGTTGGGTTTTTTTCTTGATGGCATAGCATTATTTTTTACGTTAAAGCTGCAACAACACAGATGGTGCCTGCAGTCCCTGACTGTCCATGAACACACCCGGCAGCAGGGCAGGTGTGTGAGTCAAGATGAAAAGTAACAGGAGGAAAAGAGGGATGCTCTCAGCACTCCTGATTAATGCTATACCCCTGTGAAGGGCTGAGCCTGCTCTCCCTACAAGGACCAGCGATGAACAAGAATTTGAAAGGGGAAAATCCTGCTCCATGTGTGCCCGTGCTCCAGCCCCTGCCACGCCGGCGCAGACACGCTTGCACATGTCAGGCAGGGCGGCTCTTGCCCTGGGTGTTTTGGGGTTTTTTTTTGACTCTTTGGCTTTATCTGCTTATCTTACCAGCAAGCAAAGTCACTGCAACAACCAGCACTTCAAAAGGGGTGAGGAGCTCAGCCTGGTTTGACCACCCCTTGCTGCTCAGGGTCCAGCTGGTTGAGACCCAGGTTCTGGTGAGATTCTGGTGTCTAAGCTCTGGAGAAAGTACAAAGGCTTGAAAACAAGTGAATTCCACCCAAACCGCTCCCTGCCCTCTGGATCATCTGCTGGCAGAACTTATAAAATAAGAAATACCAAAAGGGAAAAGCATGAGTGTTTAGATTTAATACTATAAAAAATAAATGGGACATTATTTGATATACAGAAGCACCACCCCGAGGCAGCAGCTCCCTGCTCTGCACTGGGTCAGGTCCCACTTCACAGCAGCCCGTGGCCTGTTCACAGTCTGTGCTGCAGGCTGGGAGCTCAAGATCAATCCCACTCCTCTGTCCCAAGAAGGATGAGCCTTTGAAGGTCATTCATGCCTTCTGCAGGACTTTAAACTCTCAGCAATCGGAGCGTTTCCTCGAGGCTGGGAAGGCACTTGCTTGTTCATAAATCCAGAGGCAGCAAGGCTGAAAGCAGCGCGGTGGCAGAGGGCAGTGCATCCCAACACCTGACTGCAGGCTTAGTCAGGCCATCCCCAGGATCATCCTTCACACTCCACAAAACAAAATTTTAAAAAAGAAAATAAAAGGGGGGGGGATGAGGAAGGAACCCCTTTGGGCATCTGAGAAATTGTTCCAAATCTGGGCTGCACCAACGCAGCCTCTAAAACACAATCTTCCCCCACCGATCGCAAAACAAAGTTGCCCCACAAGACTTAACGCTTCTAATTAATTCAAGTGCACAACTGGGGAGTAATTTGCTCAGATCCTGCCAGTGTGCACCAGACTGGAGAGCTGCAAGGTCAACCAACGGTCAGATACAGCCCTAGCCCTAAAAATAACCAGCCTCGCTCTCTGCACAAGGCTGAGCACAGCCCCGCGCTACCAGCCATGAGACGCTGATTCCTCCTCTCTTCCCCCTGCTGCCTCCTCACTGTTGCCAGGAGAGATGTGGGGGTGTCGAGCAGCTCTGGCAAGATGCTGCTGTGGCAGATCTAGCTATGGGCTATGATTTAAAAGCGACTCGGCTCTTCTTGACATTCATTTGATGCTTCTCTTGTAACCGCCCAACCTGGCAAAAACCAGAAGAAGCTGCCTGACCGGAGGCAGTGCAGCCCATTTCCACACACTCTTGTACCGAGAAGCTCCTGGTTCCCCAGAAGTGATTCAACTAACAAGGCCCAGGCAGATGGACAGAGCTGGCTGCCACCATCCTGCATTGCTTCTGCACATGCTTTAAAGCACCACTGGCTTGAACCTCATCACCCTTGGTCAAAGAAATTAATAGAATGGTTTGGGTTAAAGGGACCTTTGAAGACCACCTAGTCCAACCCCCTGCAGTGACAGGGACATCTTCAACCAGAGCAGGTTGCTCAGAGCCCCGTCCAACCTGAACTTGAATGTTTCCAGGGATGGGGCTTCTACCACCTCTCTGGGCAGCCTGGGCCAGGGTCTCACCACCCTCAGTGTAAAAAATTTCTCCCTTATCTCTAGTCTGAATCTCCCTCTTTTAGTTTAAAACCATTTCCCCTTGTCCTGTCACTACAGGCCCTGCTAAAAAGTCTGTTTCCATCTTCCAGGCCCCCTTTAAGTATTGAATTCTAAACGTTTCCCTGTGAAAGGGCAGTCTAAGCACAAAGATATGCACTATGTTGGCAGTATTTTTCCTAAAAACTGGTCAAAAAATAGTTTCCTCTCAAAAACAATCCCTGTGTTCTTTGTGCACACTTTCCCACAAGGGTAAGTGACACCTCTGCACCCTGCTCCAAGGCTGGCAGGGGCCCTTTTTCCCCGGCACTGCAGTCTCTCCCAGGAGAGCATGGATCTGCCTTGCCCAGATCTGTCAGGACCTGCCAAAAGACCAGCAAAGCCAAGCACTGGAGAAAGCAGCTGTGGTGAGGTGGCAGGGCTGGGGCTGCAGCAGGACCCCCTCCCCATCCTGTGCCTGCCA